GCTTAAACTGAAATCTCAAATTATATTATTTGAGTTGTCTTGGTTTGCTCACTAGGCTTTAAAATCATTTTAAGGATTTACGAGCTGTTTTAAAAATATTATTGTCTTTGAGGCATTCTAGAGTTCTCTGAAATATTTTTAAGTCTGGACTATGTTCTGACTGAAATTAAATCTGATTGGGCTATAATTTAATTGGACTTAAGTTTATCTAGAATTTATCTGAAATATATCTGAAATTTATCTAAAATTTCTGTCTGAAATATATATCTAGAACTCTATATGAAATTCTATCTGAAATATATATCTGGAATTCTATCTGAAATATATGTGTCTGAAATTTTTATCTAAAATATATATCTGAAATATACATATCTGAAATTTCTCGAATCGTTCGAACTGCCCGAACAAATTCGGTTGAACTAAAATTCTCTTTGAACCGTCCGGACTTGCCCGGAGCGGTCCGGTTGAACTGGACCGGCTCGCTCGTGAACCGGCCGGTGGCTTGACTTAACTTATTCTTTATCTTATTTTCTTCTCTAACTTTGATATATCTCCTTAGCGAAATTAATCACTTAACTCTGTTAAATAATTTCTCGATTAACTCTTCATATTCTTTTTCGAAGTTTAACTAATTATCTAAATTAATTAATTCACTTCATGCTCACACAAATGAATGCGGAGGCATAAACTAACATCACAGTAAAAAGATTTGACATGGATCTTTTCTTACATGTAATGGACATAATATATATAGCGACTAAAATTCATGTTTGTATGCCTGCTCAACACTCATATGAAAGTCATGGAAGCTAAATCCATACAGATTTCCATTGCTCAACATCTATTTGTGAGCATTCATTAATTATATTCAAAACCACCTTCACTTTTTATACAAGTCTAAGCATGCCCCAAATGTTTTTTTTTTAACTAATTCATAAGCCTACCTTCGGCCAATATACTGATTCCTATTCTCTAATTTTTCAACACATTTAGGTGCATAATATTTGAATATAACAGTCTCAGGACGTCTTATTAATTCAAAGCCAAATTCACTTAATACATTCTTTTCTTATATTTTTAAATGAAGTCTTAAGCATGACATATCCTTCATCTTTTATCTAAACCTAAAACATTAAACCCATCATTTCAACAATATAATGATATGTGAATAGATTCCAGATATTTTCCCAATTCAAAGCATAATAACATACTGCTTCTTTTTTTTTTTAAACCCTTTAGTATTCTCTTTCACATTCTTTAATCTCTTTTTCTTAAATCTTTTAAGCTCTAAAATTTGATCTTAAACTCACAACATTAAGCTATAAACCGAGGCTCAGTATGAACTTAAAAATTCAAAGAAAAGGATTTGATTCTCTTCTCTTGTTTTCCTAATTTATAATTAAATTCTTAAGGCTGCTATAATAAATTCTTCTTTGCTGAAACTAAAGCTTGATAACTCATATTGGTAGCCTCACAATGAACATAACACGGCTCAGCCATCTACAACAAAACAGAGCCAAAAACATCACCTTCTTCCTTCCTTTCTTTCTTAAATTTTATGAAATCTTTCATGCTCGAGGATGGGGGTGGACTCGAGCTGGCGATGCGAACGGGCTCGGCAGCGTGGATGAGGGCTCAGCTCGCAGCGGGGCTAAGCTCGGGATAGCGTGAAGGTGGCGTGGTGGAGGACTCGTGGTCACCAGCGGTTCGGGCTCATCGGAAAACGGGCACTGTGGCCGGGTTTGGTGAAGATGGAGGTGAAAAATGAGCTTGTTATGGAGGATTTTTGTGTTGGGCGTGGAAATTGAGTGTTGGAGGAAGACCAAGTATGGTATATATAGTAGATAAGAAGACTAGGGTTCAATTGTGTTATTGGGCCTTACAATTGGACTTTTAAAATACTACCATCAGGCTAGTAAATTCAATTCGACTTGGAGTCGATTAAGTCGAATATTGATTAAGGAAATAAATGATTGGCTAAGAAAATTAACCGGGTTTGGACTAAATAAATTTGTCGGTCAAATTAAATAATAATAATGAGCTCGGATTTAAAAATCGACTATAGGCTCGATTTTTAAAATGTGCTAAAATAAAATTGAATATAGGTTCGATTAACTTAAATGGGCCAGCTAAAATAATTATAGTCGCTCGAAAATAATTAGGCTCTAATAAATTAATTATTCTAGCTTTGGTCCGCTTAAATAAAATTTCTGATCATTCCAAGGCTCGGTTTTAAAAATATAATCGATACTTATGCTACATAAATTCGACTTTAATAATTAAAATTGAATAAATTCTCCATGGCTTAGAATTTAATACTAATTACTCAATTTAATGCAAATAATAATAATAAATGCATCAAATTAGGAAACTGCTATTTATGAAAATAAAATCGAACTCCATAAATAGTAATTAATATATTGGGCGTTACATAACATAGGACACAAAAACACACATTTTCACAGAAGATAGACCCTTCTACTACACCAAAACTCAGTTAAACAATTTTTGCAAAAATTAGCTATAAAATATGAAGTTACGAGTTCGAGTAGTTACCCTTCAATTTTTAACTTGAATTTTTAACACAACAAACATAAGGGAAAGTAACACAATTCCCAGAATTTCAAACCGAAATACCACAAGCTCGATTTTATAATTTTACAAGGAACAGCCTAGAACTCAAAATCATCATTTGACCTAGTTAAACATCAAATTTGGACCTAAGATTTTTACCATTTAAACATCAACATCAGAGGACCAACATATAAAAAATTCACAAGGTACAACAATATGTTTGACTTAAAAAATTCATATCTCATAGCACAAACATCAAAACGACACAAGGACTTTACTAACGGACCAAGGACACACAAAAGTACCTATAACTTCAGGATTTCCACGAATTTCATCCATGTCTTCAGTTTCGACATTAAAATGAAAAGACGAACACAAACGGCATTTATTCATAACCACATATAAACACCAAGGCAACAACATATTCACACATATATATTAAAAATAGGTCAAGAGAAGCCACCCATTACCGTACTCTGAAGGGGAGACGTGAAAACGGGTAAAAAAGGCGACGAGAAGGCACTCGGTGGTGCACTCATCTCGTGCGGGGCTTCGGGGCTGAACTTCGGCGATCAGGTGACGACGGACGGAGGCTGGAGATCGCTCGGTTGTCGAGGGAACACCGGTAGTGATGCGCGAGGGGAAAAGGTCGCCGAGGTGGCCGCGGGGTGCTCGGTTGCTGTCCTCGGGGTGCTCGGTTGCTGTCCTCGGGTGGTCTCGGCTTCGAGGAATGATCGCCGAGGGGGTTTCGCACGAAGGCAGCGATGGCAGGTTGTGCGGCGTCGATCCCGGTGCGCACGGAGGTGATGACGGAGACTATATGTAATAGCCCATTTTGTTATTCATGTACATTATGCGTTTAGTTCCAAAATATTTATGTTATCGATCATTATCACTCGGGACTAATTATTCCAATAGAGAACATTTGAATTAATTTTCAAAGTCACGTTTATGCTCGTATTAATTTGTAAGTAATTAATCCATGTTTAATCGCTCAATAAAAATATTATTAGGCCTAATCACGCCTAATTATTCATCATGCACGCTAATTGTGCCTTATTAAGGCTAAGTCGTGCAATAAGGGCCTTGCTTTGCTGAGAAATCACGTCCAAGTATGTCATGTGCTTAGTATTAATCGGCCGCACTTAGCTAGCCTTAACCTCACGTGATTAGTACCCAAAGCCATGTTTTGTGCGTCCAAATACCGTAAGTCATAGGAAGTAACTTTTCTTGACTTCTTATTATTACTAAGACATGTGGAGGTGTGATAGAGCTCAAGCTAGATGACTAAGCAAATATTGGGACACTTAAGGCTATAGGCGCAAGGCAAGTGTCTCAAGCTTATTGGCCAAATCATATTTTCACCTCTCTTTACTATTGTCATCCGCCTATTTATATTAAGTGTTAGGAACTTTTCCTACACTTAGACAAATTCTTGAGCTATATTCTAAGTATAAATTAAGAGAGAAATTGAGGGTTAAGCAAAGAAGAACGCACGGAGAAGAAGGAAAAGAAGCACACACGCACGCAAGGTTACGAGAAGACACGCACAATCGTCCGAGCAATTGAGAGGGTAACTTCATCTTGACCTTGTTCTAATGTTAAGAGTATCATGCTAGACCCAAATCATGTAACTAAGTTCATAACTTGGTCATAGTTGCTCTCGGGCGTATCTTATAAGCCATGCCTAGCCACGTTCGTTTCATTCGACAACTCCCGAGTGATTCATGTTGAAATGCTCATTATCAAATATATTATGTTCAGTCATGTAACTATTGTCGAGGGAAGTGGTCGATAGGCCGAAGAAATCGGTCGCGACCACGGGCTGCGCACGGTAGCGCACGCCACGGGCCGTTCAAACCTCATCAGGCCAAGTTCATAATTCTCGAGCGATTTAAGCATATTTGATCATATTATGTTATGTCATGTTGATTCATGTTGATGTTGCCGGAGGAAGTCGCCGGACGGTCGGTAAGTATCGGTCGTGGTTGCCATGCCCGCACATAGCGGGCACAGCACGCCGGCAGTTAGGCGAGTTACGCGGGCGATGTGCGTGCATGCCCAGTTGGGCGTCGCGCATAGGCCTGCCCGCAGCAGTCGGCAGTTGGCCAGTGCCTAGTGCATGCCAGCACGCCCCAGCACACGCCTGTGCGTTCCAGTGCACGCCAGTCAGCCTCGTGCTGTGCCTGACAGCACGCTCGAGCACCCAGTACTCTCAGGGCCGCCCGATAGCAGCCATGCGGTACTCGCTCATGTCAGCCCGTAGCCTATTGCGGCGCTCGGTAGCGCCCAGCAACGCCAGTCACGCAGTGCCAGCACCCATAGCGCTCGGCAGCGCCCAGTCATGTCTGCAATGCGCCAGTCGCACGCCAGTCTCCTAGGTTACGTCTGGCTGGCCAGGCTAACGTCTGTCGTGCCAGCGAGAGTCATGTCGTGCCCAGTGGCACGCCAGCGCACGCGAGCGACCATGCCCGTGCACCAAGCCATGCCCAGCAAGGCTGGCAGATTCATGCTGCGCCCAGTCCATGCAACGCCCGTGCTCGCAGCCTTAGCAGGCCCGTTGGCCGAGCCAGCAGCCGACCGCCCGGCCACAGCAGGCCGGCAGTCCGGCCAGACCGGAAACCGACCGGTTCAGACTGGTTTAAGTCACGGGTTATTGTTTAATGATCCGGTCCATGTTCATGACCAATTTTCAGTTAAATTTTGGGTCCGGTCTAGTTCAATAAAATTCATGTCAATCTAGTTCCATGTTAGACCAGTTCTGATGATTCCGGTTAAGACTAGACGCCATGTCAAGTTCACGTTGAGCATCTTAACACATTAAACAACTATATTTTATCAGTCTGAGCACAGTACTTAGTAATTGTTTATATTATGTTACAGTTTGATCAAGCTACTGTTATTAGCACTACCATTTTCATATCGACGGTTCAGGTGGGGACTCAGACTGGGTATTACATTGATTATAATTACGGTACTGTGTTTGAGGTGTGTATCATGCTATGTTATGTATCCGCTTGGAATGGTCGCCGGTCCATTCTGGGTTCTAGTGGCCTAGTCTGTCCACTAGAGTGTGCAGATGTTGTCCGGCATTTTCATGGTGGCAGGTGAGGTAACGGTTATGAGGCAACGGTTCATGTTATGGCAATGGTTTACTGGTCTCATGCTACGTTATGTTTATGTATATACCAGGATCATGATATTGCAATTATTTTCACTGTTTACTTTAGTATGAGTTTCTACGGAGCACAGTGGACTCTAGTGCTCACGCCCCATGTTTATCTATGTTTTTAAGGTCACAGAGTCGGAGCGGAGGAGTGTGCTGACGGCCGGTTCAGGATTTTGTTTACATATTTGAATTTGGCATAGCAGTGCTGTTACTATCTACCGTAGTGGAGTTTAAATGTTTTGCCACGCTACGTTTTCCGCTGACATTTCATGTTTGTCAAACTTAGCCCTTTTGATCCGATTACTAGTCTGATTGTTTATATTATGATAAACCGTTTTCTTTCAAAACAAAAATAACGGTTTTCCAGGTAACTTTATCGTTATGGTAGCACTCTGAAACATGATTTCGCAAACTAATCGGTAAATTTTTAATAAAAGGCTTTGAAAAAATTTTAACTCTGATATTTATGACATAGCGGGGTGTTACAGTTGGTATCAGAGCACGTTTCTGCGTCTCTGAAAACTTTTACGAGTCAGAATTTTTTATAAAACCTGAACACGTCACGCTTACGCCTCGCCGACTACAGGTATGTGCTGATTCATGTTTTAAATTATAAACAAATTACTATGTCTATGCTCAGTAAATCCCACAATTATGATTTAGTTAAGATGCTCGAATCATGTTCAGGAATTATGGTCCAGTATATTCATAATTTCATGTCAGTATTTTCCAGCCATGTTAAGCAGCTCGTCAAAAGATTTGTGCTCTTTATTAATCAGCTAAAGTATTTTCCATGTGTCTGATCATGGTGAACAATTTTTATATTCAGATGCCGCCAGAGCCAGATCATCCGGAGGTTCCCCAGGCCACTGTAGTCGCTCAGTTTCGCAACTATCATCCCGAGAAATTCTCCGGCCAGGGAGATCCTCGAGTCATTGACGAATGGGTTCAGGGCCTTGAAATGATTTTCGAGGTCATGGGCTGTCCCGAGCGTTATCGCGTTCTATGCGCACAGATCCAATTGACGGGCGAAACACGTCTCTAGTGGAACACCTACTGGGGAATGCGTCCAGGAGAAAAGGAAGGCTGTACGTGGGACAGGTTCAAGGAGTTGATTCGAGAAAAGTATTATCCTGCGTACTATCGAGCCGAAATGGAGCGTCAGTTTCTGTCACTCCAACAAGGTACTCGTACACTGGACAAGTACGAGCATGAGTTCACTCGACTTGGAGCCTTTGTTCCCGATTTGGTGAGCACTGAGGCAAAGAGATCGAGGCATTTCACTGACGGGCTTTTGCCAGCAGTCCGTCATAACATTGTAGGTCATGGCACTCAGACCTATGCCCGTACTGTCACCATAGCCAGGAAGTCGACGCCAGCATCCGGAGGGAAGCCAACCAGGTTCGTCTTTCGCCATCTACCCCTGCCCAACCATCCGTAATACCACCCGTTCAACCCGCTGCTGCCAAACAACCGAGGGACAACAAGAAAAGAAAGGGAAAAGGCTTTCAGAATGACAGGAAGAACCCTCCGAGACAAGTAGGAGCCGCCAGGCCACAGCAGATTCCACCATGTGCTACTTGTGGACGACCCCATCGTGGAGAGTGTCATTTCGGCCAGGACATTTGCTATTATTGCCATCAGCCCGACCATTTTGTCAACAACTGCCCAGAGCGACCTCAGCCACGACAGCAGCCACCACAGCAGCGACAACAGCAGCAGTCCAGACAACAGGCCCCGAGGCCATCCCAGCAGCAGCAGCAGAGAGGCAGACATCAGGCTCGTGTTTATGTTGTTGATCAGGTCGAGGCGGAACAGCACCTAGGTACTATGTCTGGGATGATTATGCTTAACGATGTTCCTGTCTTCGCTTTATTTGATACTGGAGCCACTCATTCTTTTATATCGCGACAATGTCTTGATGCCATTGGAGTACATTCTATTACCACTATCGATCCTCTCGAGGTGAGTTTAGCCTCGGGACGAAAGATAGTGACCGACGCCAAATCTACTGATCTCATCCTTTCTATCGATGGTCGTATCTTGTCTACCGACGCTTACGCTCTCGAGATGAGAGACTTTGACCTCATTCTCGGTATGGATTGGCTAACATATTTTCATGTAGGTATTCGATGCCATGACAGGGAGATTACTCTTTGTCTTCCGAGAGATGAGCATATTACTTTCTATGGCACCAAGACTTGTTCTTTACCTCATGTATTTCCATGGCGAAAGCCAAGAAAATGTTACGACGAGGTGACTGTCAGGGTTATCTTGTGAGCCTTGTCGATGATAGACCGAAGGCACAGACACCTCACGACGTTCCTGTTGTTCGTGAGTTTGTGGATGTGTTTCCGGACCAACTTCTAGGAGGACCACCTAACCGGCAGGTAGAGTTCTCTATTGATCTTATTCCAGGAGCCGGCCCAGTCTCCAAAGCACCTTATCGAATGGCGCCGAAAGAATTGCAAGAGCTTAAGACCCAAATCCAGGAGTTATTGCGACTCAGTTTTATCCGACCGAGCGTTTCACCGTGGGGAGCACCCGTTCTTTTCGTCAAGAAAAAGGACGGTTCTATGCGCATGAGTATCAATTACCGGGATCTTAACCGGTTGACTATCAAGAATAAATATCCGCTTCCCAGAATCGACGACTTGTTCGACCAGCTGAGGGGAGCCTGTGTATTCTCCAAGATTGATTTACGATCAGGTTACCATCAGCTGAAGATCAAGGAGTCCGACATTGCAAAGACCTCTTTTCGTACTCGGTACGGTCATTATGAGTTCGTAGTCTTTCCATTTGGCTTTAGTAACGCTCCAGCGGTTTTCATGGACCTGATGAACCGTATATTCCATCCTTACCTCGATCAGTTTGTTATTGTATTCATTGATGATATTCTAATCTACTCTAAGAGCCAGAAGGAGCACGAGGAGCATCTGAGGGTTGTTCTTGAAACCCTTAGACGTGAAAAGTTGTATGCTAAATTCTCCAAATGCGAATTCTGGCTCCAGCGAGTAGCCTTTCTAGGCCATGTTATCACTCAGGCAGGTATCGAGGTGGATCCACCCAAGGTTGCCGCTGTTCAGAACTGGTCAGCACCGAAGACTCCATCTGAGGTTCGCAGTTTTCTCAGTTTGGCTGGCTATTACCGCAGGTTCATTGAGGGCTTTTCCAAGATTGCCCTTCCTTTATCCCAGCTGACGAGGAAGTCTGTGAAGTTCGAGTGGACTGATTGATGTGAATCGAGCTTCCAGGAGCTCAAGAAGAGGCTAACCACAGCACCGGTGTTGACGATTCCCGATCCTTCTTGGAGTTTCACCATTTTCAGTGATGCTTCAAGACAAGGTTTGGGATGCGTACTCATGCAGGATGGCCAGGTCGTTGCTTATGCTTCACGCCAACTAAATCCCCATGAACAGAATTATCCAACGCACGACTTGGAACTAGCCGCAGTTGTTCATGCCCTCAAGATTTGGCGACATTATTTATACGGCAGTCGATGCGACATTTTCACAGATCACAAGAGCTTACAGTATATTTTCACTCAAAAGGAGCTCAACATGCGTCAACGTTGTTGGCTAGAGCTAGTCAAGGATTATGATTGCACTATCCAGTACCATCCGGGAAAGGCGAATGTCGTTGCTGATGCCCTAAGCCGCAAGGTGAAGGGTGACTCGACTTATGTTGTTACTCAGCAGAGCCGTCTTATCCAAGAGTTCGCCCGGATGCAGATTCAGGTTGTTGATGCACATCCTATGGCAGTTACGGGGAGCGTCAATGTTATGCAGGTCTAGCCTACGTTGAGGGAAAGGATCCGGCGGGAGCAGGCTTCCGATGAATTTGTTCGTGCGATTGATGCCAATGTCCGCGCTGGAGGTATTGAGGGTTTTCATCGAGGCACTGATGGGGCCTGGGAGTTTTGAGGCAGAATTGTTGTACCAAAAGTCGAGGCGTTGCGGAAAGAGATACTGACTGAAGCTCATACCACACCATATTTAGCCCACCCAGGGAGCACGAAGATGTATCATGGCCTGAAAAGGTCGTTCTGGTGGCGAGGAATGAAGAAGGACGTAGCCGACTTTATGAGGAAATGTTTTACCTGTCAGCAAGTCAAAGCCGAACACAAGAGTCCCTTGGGCCTTCTGCAACCACTCGAGATTTCAAAGTGGAAGTGGGAGGAAGTTACGATGGATTTTGTCACGGGGTTACCGAGGTTGTCTGAACATCACGATGCTATTTGGGTCGTGGTGGACAGGTGGACTAAGGTTGCTCATTTCTTACCAGTATCGATGAATATGTCTTTGGAAAAGTTGGCTGAGATTTACACCCGTGGGATCATTCGACTCCACGGAGTGCCCGTTACTATCGTGTCAGACAGAGATCCCAGATTCACCAGCAGATTCTGGGAGAGTTTGCAAAAGGCGATGGGCACGCGACTAGAGTTCAGTTCAGCCTACCATCCAGAGACTGACGGACAGACCGAGCGGACCATTCAGACATTGGAGGACATGCTACGAGCTTTGGTTGTTGACAGGGGTGCTAAGTGGGAGTCGTTATTGCCATTGGTCGAGTTTGCTTACAACAACAGTTATCATGCTTCTATTCAGATGGCTCCTTACGAGGCACTTTACGGTCGTAAGTGTCGTTCCCCTTTTTTATTGGGACGATGTCGGTGAGCGTCGAGTACTCAGTCCGAAGATGATTGAGGAAACGACAGAATAGGTGGAGTTGATCAGGCAAAGGTTAAAGACAGCTCAGAGTCGGCAGAAGTCATCTGCCGATCAACATCGACGAGATATTCAGTTTGAGGTTGGGGAGCGAGCCTTTCTTAGAGTTCGTCCATTCCGCGGATTCGTTCGATTCGGGAAGAGAGGGAAGTTGCACCCTCGGTTCATTGGCCCGTTCGAAGTTCTCGAGCGAGTGGGCGAAGTTGCTTATCGATTAGCCTTGCCTCCCGAGTTGTCTAATGTTCATAATGTTTTCCATGTATCCATGTTACGCAAGTACGTGTGTGATCCAGACCATGTCCTTCAGCATACCGATATTCATATTCAGCCAGACTTATCTTACGAGGAGAGACCGGTAGCTGTACTGGACCGACATGTTCGTCGGCTCCAAAAACGTGATGTTCCCCTCGTTCGTATTCAGTGGGATCGCCATGGAGCTACTTGGGAGCAGGAGGCTGATATTCGCGCTCTTTTTCCTGATTTCCAGTTTTGATGTATATATTTTCTTATGTTCCATATATATATGTTCCGTTTTGTATTTCCGAGGACGAAAATATTTTAAGGAGGGCAGATTGTAATAGCCCTTTTTGTTATTCATGTAAATTATGCGTTTAGTTCCGAAATATTTATGTTATCGATCATTATCACTCGGGACTAATTATTCCTGTCGAGAACGTTCGAATCAATTTTCGAAGTCACTTTTATGCTCGTATTAATTTGTAAGTAATTAATCCTTGTTTAATCGCTCAATAAAAATATTATTGAGCCTAATCACGCCTAATTGTTAATCATGCACGCTAATTGTACCTTATTATGGCTAAGCCGTGCAATAAGGGCCTTGCTTTGCCGAGAAATCACGTCCAAGTATGTCATGTGCTTAGTATTAATCGGCCGCACTTAGCTAGCCTTAACCTCACATGATTAGTACCCAAAGCCATGTTTTGTGCGTCCAAATACCGTAAGTCATAGGAAGTAACTTTTCTTGACTTCTTATTATTACTAAGACATGTGGAGGTATGATAGAGCTCACGCTAGATGACTAAGCAAATATTGGGACACTTAAGGCTATAGGCGCAAGGCAAGTGTCTCAAGCTTATTGGCCAAATCATATTTTCACCTCTCTTTACTATTGTCATCCGCCTATTTATATTAAGTGTTGGGAACTTTTCATACACTTAGACAAAATCTTAAGCTATATTCTAAGTATAAATTAAGAGAGAAATTGAGGGTTACTCAAAGAAGAACGCACGGAGAAGAAGGAAAAGAAGCACGCACGCACGTAAGGTTACGAGAAGACACGCACAATCGCCCGAGCAATTTGAGAGGGTAACTTCATCTTGACCCTGTTCCAATGTTAAGAGTATCATGCTAGACCCAAATCATGTAACTAAGTTCATCACTTGGCTATAGTTGCTCTCGGGCGTATCTTATAAGCCATGCCTAGCCACGTTCGTTTTATTCCCGAGTGATTCATGTTGAAATGTTCATTATCAAATATATATTATGTTGAGTCATGTAACTATTGTCGAGGGAAGTGGTCGATCGCCGAAGAAATCGGTAGCGACCACGGGCTGCGCACAAGAGCGCACGTCACGGGCTGTTCAAACCTCATCAGGCCAAGTTCATAATTCTCGAGCGATTTAAGCATATTTGATCATATTATGTTATGTCATGTTGATTCATGTTGATGTTGTCGGAGGAAGTCGCCGGACGGTCGGTAAGTATCGGCCGTGGTTGCCATGCCCGCACATAGCGGGCACAGCACGCCGGCAGTTAGGTGGGTTACACGGGTGACGTGCGTGCATGCCCAGTTGGGCGTCGCGCATACGCCTACCCGCAGTAGTCGACAGTTGGCCAGTGCCTAGTGCACGCCAGCATGCCCCAGCACACGCCTGTGAGTTCCAGTGCACGCCAGTCGGCCTCGTGCTGTGCCTGACAGCACGCTCGAGCGCCAGTACTGTCAGGGCCGCCCGGCAGCAGCCATGCGGTACTCGCTCATGTCAGCCTGTAGCCTGTTGTGGCGCTCGGTAGCGCCCAGCAGCGCCAGTCGCGCAGTGCCAACGCCCATAGCGCTCGGCAGCGCCCAGTCATGTCCGCAATGCGCCAGTCACACGCCAGTGTCCCAGGTCACATCCAGCTGGCGAGGCTAACGTCTGTCGTGCCAGCGAGATTCATGCCGTGCCCAGTGGCATGCCAGCGCACGCGAGCGACCATGCCCGTGCACCAAGCCATGTCCAGCAAGGCTGGCAGATTCATGTTGCGCCCAGTCCTTGCAACGCCCGTGCCCGCGGCCTCAACAGGCCCGTTGGCCGAGCCAGCAGCCGACCGCCCGGCCACAGCAGGCCGACAGTTCGGCCAGACCAGAAACCGACCGGTTCAGGCCGGTGTAAGTCACGGGTTATTGTTTAATGATACGGTCCATGTTCATGACCAATTTTCAGTTAAATTCCGGGT